GAGGGTTGCGATCCCGTTGCCGGTCCCGGTCCGGTACGGGCGCGACACTGAGGGTTGCGATCCATTGCTGGACACGAAAAAAGACAAAAAGGAAAAAAAAAAAAAAAGTTGCACATGTTAAATAAAATAGGCTAAAAAGTATCTACTGAATTTGAAGACCTGAAGGTCAGTGGCAGTTTTAGGGAGTACAGTTTTAGTGGAATTATGGGAATAAATACCAGTTTACAGTGGGCTGAGAAATGAACAAAAGCAGATGCAGACGGTCCTGGGAATGAAAGAAATTATACCTTTCTGACCTTTTCTGATGATTTTAAGCAAGAGGTTCCTACATTTTTGAGGTCCTTTAAAAACAGGTAAGTAAAAGAAGCTATGAAATCAATGACAATCATGTTCTCTGAAAAGAGGTACCATCAGGGATCCAGTTTGATCTCAGCAGTGTTATTTTACAAATATTTCAATCATTTTGGATGTCTTAGGCAACTTGTTCTTTCCATCATTCTCATTTCAATTGTGCTGTCAACTTTTAATTTATTCTTGTACATTCTTATTTCAATAAAATATGGGAACTAGGTATGGGAAAGAGTACCAATCCCAGGAATTCCTGCCTAAAGTGGACAGGAATCAGAAGGGAGTGGTCAAAGGCATCACATGCCACTGAGATGACAAGTTGGATAAAGACTGGAAAAAAAAAAAAAAGACTCATTCGTCACCATGGCTCCTACCTAAAGCCAACAATCACTCTTCTGTTTGCACCCTGGATCCCATACCCTCTTGCCTAGTTGAGGACATATTTTCAGCAATTCTGCCATCTCTGGAATCACCGGTTCTTTCCTCTCTACAGGATCAGCCTACTCAGCATGCAAGTGTGGTATTACAAAACAAAATGAAAAAATACAAACAAAAACCAAAAACCAGAAACACTCTCTTGATCCCATTTCTAGTTAAGATCCTCATTTTTCTCCTTTCCTTTGTAGCAAAACTCCTGCAAAGAACTATTTATACTCACTGACTTCATTTTCTCTCCTCCAATTCTCTCTTAAATCCACTCCAAAGGAGGTATGTGCTTACAACTCTTGTCAAGGCCACCAGTGACCGCCATCATGAATCCAGTATCATTTTCAGCAGTCCTCTTACCTGATCTACCAGAAGCATCTGACACAGTTGATCTCTTCCCCTCCCTTGAAATATCATTTTTTACTTGGTTTCCAGGACCCTGCACTCCACTGGTTTTTCTGCTACCTTTTTAGCTACTCACTTTAGTCTTTGCTGACTCTTCCTCTTCTGCTTGACTTCTAAATGCTGTTATATCCCAGAGCTCAGGCTTTAGCTCTCTTCTCTTTTCTATGTATACAGTGCTCATTTCTTTGATGATCTCATCCAGTAACATGGCTTTAAATATTAGCTATATGCTGATGACTCCCAACTTTCTCTTTCTAGCCTAAACCTCCCCTAACTTCAGAACCTGATATCAAACTGCCTATTTAACATCTCTTAGATATCTAATAAGCACCTCAAATTTAAAATTTCTAAAACTGAACTCCTACAATCCCCTCCCCTATCCAGTTTTCCCCATGTAAGTTAATGGCAACTCCATCCCTCCAGTTGCTTAGGTCAAAACTTTGGAGTTGTCTTTGATGTTTTTTTCTCCCTTCTCACATTGCTCATCTGGTCTTTCAGGTAAATCCTGTTTGGTTTACCTTCAAAATTCTAGAATTCTATATTTCTCACCACCTCCCATTCCCATTATCTTTGAAAGACACTCTCATAAGGTTTTGCCCCCACTGCTCCACCAAAAATACTCTTATTAAAGTCGCCAGTGATGTTCTTCAGGTCATCATCTCACTCCTGAATTATTTTAAGAGCCTCCTAACTGGTCTCCTTGCTCCAGCCTCTGTTCCCTTCACTCTGTTCTCAACACAACAGTTAAAGGGATTCTATTAATAAACAAGTCAGATCAAATCATTCTGCTCAAAACTCTCCAATACTTTCCCACGTCACTCAGAGAAAAAGTTAAAGTATTTATTCTGACGCCTAAGGTCCTACATGATCTAGTCCATTATTACTCACAGTATGGGCCTTATACCAGGAGCTCTGGCATTACCCAGGAGCTTGTTAGAAACGTAGAAGCTCTGGCTCTAACTCAGACTATTTAAATCAGCATCTGCATTTTAATGAGATCTCTAGGTAATTCATATATATGTTAAAGTTTGAGAAGCAGTCATGTAGCCCTCTACTGCCCCTCTCCCTAGTATACGCTGCTGTAGTCACACTGGCATCCTGGCTATTTCTACAAGGTGGAAACACTCCTGCCTTGGGGCTTTTGCACTAACTGCTCCCTCTGCCTAGAACAATGTTCCCCAGACAGTTGCATGCTTCAGGTCTTTATTCAAATCACTTTCTCATTAAATATTTTCTGGGCCATCCTGTCTAAAACTGTACCACCAAAACTTTCCTACCTCTCTTCTCCACTTTATTTTTTAATCCAAAGTTCTTATTCAACATAGTATGCATTTTACTGATTTATCCTGTTTATTGTCTGACTTCCCCAGTAAAATCTGAGCTCTAATGGGGCTAGAACTTTACTCTGTTTTGATCATTGCTTTATATCTAATGCCTGGAATGTTGTCTGGCACATAGTAGACACTAAGAAAATTTTTATTGGATGAACTGGATTTAGTAACTAGCCAGCCTTCAGAAAAGTCTTACAGAACAGTTTCATCTGAATAGTGAGGTCAAAAGATAGGTATCAATGAGGTAAGAAATGAATGTGAAGGAAGGAAATGGAATTAAAAAGTGTAGTCTATTTTTTAAAGCACTCTAAAGAATATTAAAATAACTCGTTTTAGGAATTAGCTAGCACTTCAGTCTGTTAGTGAATACATTTCCTCTTTGGCAAATAATTTCTAAATATGTAGAAAACATAAAAATTCAAGTGGGAAGAGTGGACTATTGCTATTAACCATTTTCTAAATTCCTTTATATATTTGTCCAAATATCTCAAAGAAAGGAGACAAGGGGTGAGGCGGGAAAAGAAGTTAGGTAAAGCTCCTAAGCATCTTGAATAAAAACCATATTAAAAAATCTGATCTTGGGCCGAGCCCGTGGCGCACTCGGGAGAGTGCGGCGCTGGGAGCGTGGCAGCGCTCCCGCCGCGGGTTCGGATCCTATGTAGGGATGACCGGTGCACTCACAGAGCTCACTGGCTGAGCACAGTGCGGCCGGTCTCAAAAAGGACAAAAAAAAAAAAAAAAAAAAAAAAAAATCTGATCTTTGGGAAAAAAATATTTTAATATCTGTAGCAATTCAAACAGAAAATGCATTTGTTTTTAGAGCTAACTCTGTGGCAAGTAATTCCTTAGTGGTGACTATGTAATTTTCTTAACCAGGAATTATCAATATTTGCTAAATCCTACATATTGCTGTACCAGTTCACAAGAACCAGAAACAGACAGATGAATGCAGATTACAAAGTAGTTTACAATGGCTTTCTCTATGCAAAGCACAATAAATGTACCTTCTATTTTTATGATATAAAACTGCCTCTTTAGCACTTCATACTTTGTCAGAAGCTTTGTTTGTGCAAAAGTCCAATGTTACAAAGCAGCTGCTTACCCAGTTGTAGCCAGATCATTACTCTCCTTTGAGCCATCTTCATCTGCAAAAAGGGGATGCAGGGTAGAGCTAGTCATCAAGCTTTCCATCTCTCTGAAAGGAAGAGAGAGAGAAAAAACTAATGGCTTAATTACTTTCAGTTCAAGTTCGACTAATTTAAAAGCCAGCCTTCCCTACCTTATCACATCAGCAGCAGAAAAGAAATTGACCTAAATATTTATTTTCTTGACTTGGACATCAATTTAAACTCTATGTTTAATGGGCTTTCAACCCTGGTCTTATCAACTGACCAGACTAAAAACATCTTAGATTTTAACAAGTGGAAAATGGTTTGGAAAATTCCTTTTTATTCATCCAGAATATCTTCAAAAGCATTCTTCGTTTACTGTGGCAAATGTTAAGAAGAGTAACTCAAAAGCATTGCAACCCTGAGCAAATTATTTAACCTCTTTGAGCTACAACTTCACCATCTTAAACACAGACAAAATTGCTGACTTCACCGATAGGGCTATTGTGAGGGATTAAACTGAAAGTGCTTCATAAACAGAGAAAGGCTAAGGTAGTAAGTGATTTGAGTACTATTATATAAAGAAAGGTATTGTTATTATAGCATTACTAGTTCTCAGTCCCAGATGAATCACCCTGAGATTAAATGGTGACAAGCTGAGCCCTCCAAAAGGAAATAATGCAAAGGAAGTGGAGGATGGAAGGCATACTGATGTGGCTCTGAGTCAAAGAAACCACATTTCCAGGTCAGAAATATGCTCCACATCATCATCATAACCAACAGCAGAAATAACATGCACCTGGATACAGGAAACAACTAAGCTTAATTGAAGAAAACAAATAAATCACAAGAACTTGAGGTTAATCAGACTGAAAGGATAAAAGGACAAAGTGACAGAGTAATTTCATTTAGCATATCACTACAAAGAAAGATTTTTCCCTTTCAAGGCTTACCACCAAGGGCTTCACCCATACAGCTAAAAGCAGCAGCCTTTCATTCATCATGAAAGTGATATTCAAACAAAACATTCAATAGTGACCCTGAACATCAGCCACTTAAGTGGAACTGCAAACCACTCAAGAAAAAGAGTGCCTCAATCAACTGGGAGAATTGAGAAGCAAATTATGAGAACTCAGAGCTCCCTCAGCAGTTATTTCAGGAGCTGCTAAGGAGACCTAGTGAAACAGCAATTAAAAGGAAAGCACAGCAGCCAACGCAGAGCTGGGATTCATTCCACTGAGGTGGAAATATGAAGAAAATGCAGATGCCACTGACGACATATTCTCAATGTTCGATGGAATAATTTATTTTCAAAAAAATAATGCCGATGTTTTCTTTCTTTTTCTTACTTTCACATCTAAATTTATTATTTAGCAGACCAAGTTCCATAAATAGCCTAATATGAAAAAATGCATCTCTGTATAAATATTGTCCATTATAGTGGGTAGAGCATGAAAGGGAGAGAAACTTCCCACTCAACCAGAGTAAGGAGTTTATTCCATGTGCAGGGATGACTGCTAATCCTTCCTTCATGATAGGGTGTTTACAAGTGAAATGACTCTAACAAATACCACAAAATTCCATTCTACATGTTTTCCAGAATAATCCTGACTCAAGTGTACTTAAGTTTTAATTAACATTACACAAAGACTACATTAGAGCCTGAGCTCTAAGGGCTGCTAACATTACCTCACACCAGTGCCAATGTTCATTTTACCAAAAGAAAATTATCAGTTAGATACTACACAGCCTGACTGTAATGAGCAAACATTCAAATAGCCAGGAATATACCGCCAAACCTTAAAAGGACTCATCTGACTGACTTCCTTCTAAAAGCGTCCCTAGAAGTCAATGGCCTTTCAAGAACCTCAAGCTTCAGCATTTGAAGCTCTTGGTATTGCTCCCACAGCTCAAAAGGAGATATACTACCTGGTGGGGGACAAATTGTCTTTTTATTCACAATGCCAGCGTGACCCTCTTAGAGTGTTTCTCAAGTATCTTTAGTCATTTTTGAAATGTGGGAGGCAGCTGGATAATACAACCTTAACAATACACATAAACAGAGCTTATAAACAAAGGAAGTTCAGGGAACACACATTTCTTCCTTTTTTTTCCCCTCTCTTTCATGTTTGTTTTATGCAACCCATATGGCTTCAGATACATTTTCTCAGTATTACTGAGTAGTCAGGTCCCTAAGAAATGAGTAATAAAGTGGGTGGAAGGTTAAGGGGCCAAGATCAACAAAAGAAGGAAATGAAGAATAGTCCAGTGAAACCCAAAGGCCTCTAAACTAGTCCAATAAGTTGGAAAATAAAATGATTCCTAAGAATATGGCTGGGATCCTGAAAGAATGTGCTTTCATATGGTCTGTGAGGGGGTGATTCAAAGTGAATCACAGCTACCAAGCCACTGATGGCCAACAGCCATTCAAGTGTAGCATCTGTGCCTGATAATGTCCCAGTACAGAGGTCATAATGAACTTTGAAATTCAATGCAAAGCACTTAAGAAATGTAATGAATGTTGCTCTGGAAGGGGAAAGAAGAGAAGTTTACAAAAAGGCAAAGCAATATACAAGTTTGATACTGCACTGCAATTTACAAATACATAGGTTTATCATGTAGATGATTCCTTGCAGAGGGTATTTATTTAGTGAAGGCTTCTACTTGGAGGCCTCACAAAATGGTATTACCTTGGGGCTTAAGGCTTTGAACCAGGGTCTGGACATTAGCTCTGGAAATCCAAAAATTTCCTCTAACCACTTACTGAAAAAAAAATTGTTGTATAAACAGTGTGTTAATATAAGATATTTTAATGATGATTGTATTAGTCTGTGTCTGTTTCTTACAACGAAATACTTAGAACTGAGTATTTTATAACAAAAATGAAATCTATTGCTTACAGTTTCTGAGGCTGGGAGTTGGTAACCCAGGGTTCTCACAGTCAAAGATGGTAGAGCAGAGAGAGGATTTAAAGCCCTTAGAACCATGACCCTGGGTACCATTTTAAACCCATTCACTATGGCATGGTCCTACAATCTAACCACCTCTTTAAGGATCCACTTTTCAATTACCATAATAGGATTTCTCACCCTCTTAACAGTCACAGTGCGGGCCAAGTTTCTAATACTAAAACTTGGGGGACACAATTCAAGCTTCAGTGAGTTTTGGGAGGACATAATTAAATCCATTATAATGATTATAAAAACTGTAATGAGAATTATACTAAACATTCTACATACTTACCTATTGAGCAATGAACACATTTGCTCTCTGTAGTAATATGGGGAGCCAAATCATAATCAGAACATTGCTTTGGTCAATATAGGGCTAGAACAAAAAAATGAAATGGAGCTTAAGAAGTATTCCTCAACTAAGATTGTTCTAGTAACATTTCCCAACAATAGGGTGATCACAGCAATGAGATTATGTTATTCCAAAAGTGTTGGACACTGCAGGAAGTGTAACTTGCAATGAGATTATGTTATTCCAAAAGTGTTGGACACTGCAGGAAGTGTAACTTGCACTTCTATTTTCTGGATTTGGTCCTTTTAAAGTGCCCTTTCCTTACATTACATAAATTAATCCCACTTCATTAAGTCCTCTCATGGAGATGCATCATATTCCTTCTCTCCAATCATACACCTCAGAGTTGAGAGATGGGATTCTGCCCTCCTCATTTTCCATATTACAATCCTTACACAAAATCCCCAGCTCCTTTAAAAATCAGGTCACTTACAACCTCATATTCAAAAATCTCTGACTACTCTCTCCTATCATTTCAGCTCTCTTAATTACTCTTATTACCAGTAACCTTTAACCACACAAACCTCTATTCATTGACCCTTGGTTCTCCCTTCTCTGTCCAGCTTAGATTCCATGGCTACATTTCAAATGTTCTTTTGCCAACAATCTCAATTCCTTGCCTTGCAATCTTTCTATACACCAGAAGCAGATCAACTCTGAGATCTGGCTCAAGACAGAGGAGAAAAATCACAAAATAAAGCGTGCTATTATAAATTTATGGTATCCAACCACAACTGGGCCCTCAATGCTCTCAGCAATCTTTCTATATGTTCTTAGGATATTTCCCAATTGCCACATCATCTGTCAAACTTATACAACCCAATTCAAACCTAACTCACATAAATCCTCCAACTCAGCCTCATCTTTTCACACTCACCATCCCCAACTCATGTCAAAAGGCATCCTAAATTGCTTTTTTTTTTTGAAATATAATTCATATACCATAAAGCTTATCTCTTCAAAGCATATAATTTGGTGGTTTTCAGTATATTCACAAAGTTGTGTGATCAACACCATAATCGATTTTAGAACATTTTCATCATCCCCAAAAGAAACTTGACACCCATTAGCAGTCAATCCCCATTCTTCTCTCCTCCCAGCCCTGGGCAACCACTAACCTACTGTCTGTCTTTATGAATTTACCTAATCTGGACATTTCATATAAATGGAATCATACAATATGTGGCCTTTTGTGTCTGGTTACTTTCCCTTAGCATAAAGTTTTCAAGGTTTACACAATGTAGCATGTACCACTATTTCATTTCTTTTTATAGCTGAATAATATTCCATTGTATGGCTATTCCACATTTTGTTTATCCATTCATCAGCCGACAGGCTTGGATTGTTTCTCCTTTTTTTTCGGCTAT